TATCTGCGTTTTGTATTGTAGTAGAGATCGCTGATAATGTACAGTAAACCGTCTAAGACTGAGTGAATTAACTCCAGCACGCACCTAACGATTAATTCTTGGCACGCGTGTGTGTTTTGTACATGAAATAGGAACTTTATTTATGACAACAATGACATGATTTTACGTTCGTAAAATCGGGAATTCGTAAAATCGGGGTTCATAAATGAGGGGTTCTACTGTACTATATTTTTTACATAATTTAATAGTCAAACTTTTAGGGCTTCACCCCCCACCCCCCACCCCTGACCATTTTCAATATATTTTTGAGCAACTCCCGACTACACCACTTTACTCCCGTTGGGACATCTGCAGTGACAGATCGGGGAGTTATACCAGCTCAACCCACGATGATTGGGGCTGAGGTAGAACATTAAGATTACGGCACCTCTAGATGGCAGGAAATGGCATTCTCAGACTTAAATTTGAATATGATTTTCATTTTCTTTCTCTCTCTCATTTTTTTTTTATTCAGAAAAAATGGGGATGGCTTCCCTCTTGAATCTGTCACTTTTTGGTTTTTTTTATTTCATTTCTTTAAACATTGGCGCCAAGGATATGCCAATCAGGGAACTTACACTATCCTAGGTGGCATATCCATTAAACAACAGGGACTGAATGGACCTGTACACCGGGGTAACCCCCTACTCTTCTCGAAGGAATTACTGGGTTCTTTAAAGTGCACACGGGACAAATGTGTACACTGGGACTACGGTTTAAAGTCCTTATCCGAGAAGACTTGTTCCACCACTGGAATTATTATGGTTTGTTTATTGTTATAGTTTATTGTTATTTTTACTTATGGTTGCTCTGCTGAAAAGGGCCGTTTGTTATGAATATTTTCGGGGTTTTTGATGATGTCATCGTCAATACGAGGTGTGTGTAAAACCGAGGGTTCGTATAACTGGGGTACATAAAAACGAGGTTCTACTGTACTTATAGTTGGTTTTCTCAGGTTGTCGTTTCCTTGAGACCCTCATCACTTTGCATTTCGGAATGTTGAATTTCATTCCCCACTTTTAAGACCAAGCAACAAGGCTGTGTAGGTTGTGTTGGAAGGCAGCTTCACCATCTCTTAAATTAATGGGCTTGTAAAGTATTATGTTGTCAGCAAAGAGCCTAATGGTTGATTCAACACCTTGGACTATGTCGTTGATAAAGAGATGTTGGCCCAGGACAGTAGCTTGTGGAACACCACTGAGTACTGGTTTACATGGGGATGATTTCCCATTGACAACTACTCTTCGATCTCAAAGGCCAACCATATCTTAGTTTAAGTAGTAGGAGTATATTTAGCCACTTATTATTTTTATATTCATATTTTTAAACTTATTTTTCCATTGTGATGCACATAGAGGTCATGACAATATGCGCCTATTAGTCCACCATTATTAAGAAGAACAGCAGTGAAGTTTTGTGGTCTGCCTGCCCAAAAATCCCTGGTAGGTGTCAATGAAATGCCAGTGTCACAGAAATGCTAAAGAAGTTGAAGCCCACTCTGGAAATAAGAAGACAACAAAAGTGTTTCTCTATTTTACAAGATACATCATTGCTTGGTTACAATTGATCCTGCAAGATACATCAACAGGTGTGTTACACACAAACCCAATACAAGACAAAGACACCACAATCTTCAATATATCGTTCCACACTCTTCTGTAAACAATGTTTCTCTTATTTTGCAAGAACTTTAAATGAGTGGAATCACTTAACCTAAATCCCTAGCTGAAGCTCCGTTGTTGGACATCTTGTAGGCTAGGCTCTATCACCTCAATAACTAGATCCATATTAATATTTCCATTATTTTTATTATTAACCTATCATTATTATTGTTATTTATACTTAAAATTGTAAGCGGGCCTGATCTGTTTTCCCTCTCACGACTGGACAGCGGTTGGAGGCATCATGCATTTCCTCAAAAGCATTTTTTGAGGGAAAAAGAAAAATAACTTTGTTGTCGTAATAAGACTTAATTGTAGGGTAAACAAGTTTTTACATTCCTTTTCCCCCAGTTTCATATATATTTACAAATCTGTATCTCATTAACCGTTTCCAAGTTTTTTTTCTCAAAACCCTTATATCAAAAATATTTTTGCCTCTTCAGCTTGTTTACATTTATACAATAATTTCATATCATATAACAATAATTTTGAATATTAAAAGTTCCATAAAGATCCTAATTGAAACCCTGTACTCTATATTTGACCCATACTGTACTGCAATATGTCAGTAGTATCTCACCATAGCGGGTGTCTTTATAGTCACCCACTATCACTTAAAATACACAATCCTTAAAAATGCAAAGAGAAGAGAAACAACCTGAGTCAACAACCAAGAGTTTGTATTTACTCTAGTAGTTGTAAATCTTAATATTTTGTACTCTGTTCTATTCTCTTTCAAGTACTTCATAGTGAAAACATTCCTGCTTCACATTATTTTGCCTAATTGCTGCTGTTTTTCCCAATCCCTCTTTCTATTTTGAAGGCATTTCCCTCATTGAAATCATAATTTGTAAGCCTCATTCTTCGTTTCTATACAGTATACCTACTGTATCATCAGATGTTTCAAACCTCATTGCTTGTCGTCAACAGAGTAATCCTATCAATACTATAGGTGAAATCATCAATTTCTTTGTAAGCCCTATTTGTTCGGTCAAAATAATTAGCATCATGTGGCTTGGCAACATTTACTTTATTAACAGTGGGTGAAAGCTCATAAGCATTGGTGTGTGTTGATTTGGAGATGTCATTTTCTTTTATGACAGTATCTTCAGAAGATTGCTTAAAATTGATGTCAAAATTTTGTGCTGATCTTCCCATTTTGCTAATGTATTGTGCATTTCCTTGTTGGTCATATTCAAAGTATACATTTTCCTCTGTTGACGGTGATTTCATTGTGGAATTTTGTTTGGTTTTGAAGCTCATTTTTACAAAATATAAAATAAAAATAATCAGAAATAGTATTATTAAAGCTACTAATGGTATGAATATTAATTGTGTTGCATTGTCTTCTTTTGCTGCTGCTGTTGTTGCAGAGATTTCAGTGCCTTCTAGGCTTGTTTGGCCTTCTGAACTTATTTGTATCATGGTGCGTTGCGATTTTTCTGCATCAATGTATTTGGTAAGTGAAGTTGATGGTGAGGATACCTTTGTGCTTTGTGGTAGTATTGTAATGGTAATGGTAATGGTGGGATATTTGTAGTGCGCCTTCCACAATAAAATCATCTCAAGGTGCCGAAGAAAAAGTAGGACCATAAATTATAAAAAAATAAAATTATATTATATCTTAAATTAATTAGCCTATATTAATCAGAATATTTTTTTTTATATTTGTTTTAAGTTAAATAAATAAAAATGAATAAATAAAGAAAGAAAATAAATAAATTAATAAGTAAACAAATATAAAATTAGATAAAAAAAAAGTATCCTGTGGATTGACTTCTTTAGGGTTGAATGTGTAATTCAGTGCATAGACATCAGATGTACAATCTTCCATGCTGTGAATCCTACTGCCATTTACAAGCCATTATACTTGGAACTCTGGAATATTTTGATAGGAACATGAAGCAACTGATGTGCTACCATTAATATGGATGATTGTACATTCTGGCTGGTAGATTTGTAGCTTATAGCTTTTATTGTCGTAAAATCTTCATCATTTCCTGGCACTAACCACAATTGTAGGTTTCTGCAAGATATGGTCAGATTGTGATGTCATCAGGTATCAATGAACAAACTGTAGTCTGCACCTTCACCAGGTAAAGCAAAAAATGTTCTTGTAGTGCCAATTGAATCAGTAAACATTTTTCCAGAACTGATGTAACCATTGTGACCCCACCACCTAACAATCTGTTGGTCATTCACCTGGTCAACCATACATACATGGCAGAGATACGTTTTGTCCAGGTACAGCGTCAATGATTGTAAAGTTGCAACATCTAGTCCCGAGCGCATAGAGACCATGTATTATGCGCTATATAAGTCTCCAACCATTACCATTTAACCATTACCATGATCAATCCTCTCACTATGCAGGTAGGCACGTACAGTATGAATAACAAGAATGTCATCCACAACCAGATATTGTAGCTCATAATTATAGTCTTGCTGACCAAATACTTTGTCATACACCTTTGAAAGAGATGCACTGTCTTCCTTCTTTCTAGACTTTATTATTTTATGTCTTACTTATTTTATGACTTGCAGATGATAATTCCAAATTTAATGGAGTGCATTGCGTATTTTTCTATCTCTTGCATGTCCTGTTGGAGTAAAATTAAATATAAACTTTTGTTACATAAGGATTTTAACTGTCAATTGATCAACAACAAAGTAATTTTCTTACCAATTACACACAGCGAGTTGCTTATCTACACAGATCAAATAACTTGAAGATGGTTTATAGACTTTACTATGAAAATCCTTAAACTATCAGTCAATTTAATGATAAACCATGTAACGAACTTTAAACTTTCAAATTATAATCAATATTTTGAATTATTTATTTCATACATTCTAAGTATTTTTACCACGATCTTTTATTTCTTTAGTTGTGTGTCTACTGCCTCACAAGAGGCACAGACTGTGACTAAAATCATACAAATTGTAGTAATAATGAATAATGTATACAGTAATATAAATATTATAAATTATGTACATACTTTATTGTATTGACTGTTGTGAATTCACATACTCTACTCTCTGACAGTTAATAAGAATATTACACTGCTTACTTTCTTGTTGGATCTTTGATGGAAGCTAAAGTCCATGAAAAATACTTTTAATTTGTGCAATTTGCCTTATTATGTTTCAATGGATATCAGTTTGTAAGGTTCAATGATAATCATATGCCAAATAGTTGACTTGATATACACAATGCAAAGTGATCTATGTGGTTGAGGGACTTTTTTTTATCCAGTTTAAAATAGTTTTGAAAGTTTTGATCAAACCAGGAAGAACTTACTGAAGCATGGCGTGTAAGATGGGTGAGAGGAGCAATTCGTCCTTGATAACGAAAGAAAGTTCTTCTCATTTAAGGTGTTCAATTACATGCATTTATTATTAATATAATTCCACCACCATAGAAGACAATCTGTGGAGCTTTCTTTTCCTAGAGAGCTTGATTTTATTTATTTTTCTCCTACCTAGCGCCACTATATATATCATGATAAAAATATTTTTTCTCTAGAATTAAATAAATATAAGCATACCAGTCTAGTTATTGAACTGATTACATCACCACATGGCATTCTTTAAACAACAACATGATGGGATCTCGAACAAGTGCCAATTGCTACACTTAATCACTTTTATTTCAAGCACATTTTTTTTTTCATTCAACAAATAATTTTTTTCCCACCACCCAGATATTATTTTTACATTTTTTCTGCCCTGGTCTTAAGATTTTCTTTTAAAAAAAAGCTATAACAAAAGGTCATGCCTTAGGTCAACTGGTTTAACTATTTTTTTTTACAAACTTGTTGACATTAACTAATTTGCCAGAGGTGGTGATTTGTTATAAGCATACAGAACAATCAACTTTCATTTCATTGGCAAAAAAAAAATGCATTCTCAGTATAAAATCTATATTCAAAGTTCCTTTCAGAATTAAATATTTACAATTTCAAATTTCAGTTAATTAATTGTATCTCATTTATTTCATCATCAGAGACATTTAAAATAAAATACAAATGCTTAACACTTACAACTACACAACAACAATATTATATAAAAATGTTTCTACTAACATAAGGACCTATCAATATTTAATAAGAGATTTGTTCAGATATAACTGCATAGACTTGTTTGCATAGTAGTTTGTGTTATTTACATTTTTGCTCTTACAGTACCCTTCACTGATCTTTTGACAGATTGTTCACAGTTGATTTAAAAAGAATTATAGATTTAATGAGCTGTGACTGTCAGAGATTATGATTTAAAGTTTTTTTGAAGAAATGTTCTTTTTTGAATTAAATCGATGAGATGCAATCGGATGGGATAGAACCGGGCATGGAGGCATCAGTGCACACAGTGGCTACCACCAGCCACCAAGTTCAGCAAATGGTTTCTACCACACAAAAAGTGTGATGTGGTAGTTCATTCTTGCCTTCGTAACTCAGGCCGTCACTTCCAGGTAGCCACCATTGTCCTGATCATAGGTGATATAATTGACATCATTCACAATTGAGTCCCTCTGGTATGTTGCATCTGCAACCTCACCAACTTTATGGTAGAGGGCACTGTTGTCTTCTGTTTGTTGAAATGTTTGCATTGCTGTATTTCTTTCCTGATACAGTTGGTTTTGAACATTTTGTAAATTGATAGAAGGAGAAATAACAGTTCTAGACTGTTGTTGAACATTGTTTCCATATGAAAAGCCAGTTCCACCAGATAGTTGATTGCTAACATCCATTGTTTGCAGCAACATTGTAGACTGTTTATTTGTATTGTTCTCTCTTTTCTTGTAGCATCAGTAAAACTCGTTAATAAATAAAACAAAGATCATAGTAGAAGTACATGCAGTTGCTATGGTAAACTGCACCATGGTTATGAATCCTTGTTTCTGGTTTGAATCAGAATCGGGTATGTCTGTAGTAGTGTCTTCTTTCAGAATATTCAGTGTAGAATGTGGTTGTACTTGTATGGTTGTTGAAGTTAGTGCTGTCATCGATGCTTCAGTTTTTGGTAGTAATGTTGGGATATGTGTCTCCTTTATAGAACATTTAGATTTTCTCATAGTCACAGTGTTTATGACATTACACACAAGATCCTGTGGATTGACCTTTCTTGATGTGTATGCGTAATTCAATGTACATATATCAGATGTGCAATTTCTTATGCCTTCAACACTGACATCTTTAACAAACCATGTTGCTTGGAACTGTTGAATATTTTGATAGGAGCATGAAGCAACTGATGTGCTACCATTAATTTGGATGATTGTACATTCAGGCTGGTAGATTTGCAGTTCATAAGTTTGTAATTCCTGGACAACATCATCATCAGTGTTTGACACTAACCTGCATTCATATGTTGTTGTAAGATATGACCAGATCATGATGTCATCAGGTATCATAATGAACAGACTGTAGTCATCACTTGCACCAGGTAAAGCATAAAATTTCTTCAAAGTACCAAATGCATCACTATTGAACATTTTTCCAGAACTGATGTAATCATTGTGACCATACCACCTAACAGTCTGTTGGTCATTCACCTGGTCAACCGTACATGGCAGAGATACATTCTGTCCAGGTACAGCTTCAATGACGAATCCTACCACACAAGTAGGCACATACAGTATGTAAACCATACTCTATAGATGGATGTTATACCTCATATTTACAGTTTCTGCTGAGTAATCAAATCATGAATGTAAGAAGATGTATTGTCATTTCTTCTATTTTGTCTGTCTTTTCTTGCACCTATATCCTTTTAAATTTCATCTATGGTTTGCTTATAAACCGGATGGTAAACCTGTTTGAGTAAAATAAAATAAAAATCATGGAAATTCAACTTTCTTATTACCATTGTTATAAATATTTAGATTGGGTGAGATTTTATGGTCACTTGTGCGCATTCAGCCACAAGTTAAAAAATAACATTGTGAATTTTATAATATTTGTTTTGATTATAATGTGTTTTACATTATGATGATATAATAGCAAAACATATACCAGTAGTAACTGTATTAATATTATGGTCCCATGTCTCTTAAAAAGAGATTACAGTTGGGGCACCCTCATTTTAACTTTTGTCACATAAGTTATTGATCAAGAAATGAATTTCCTCACCAATTACACACACTGAGTTGCTTATCTACACAGATCAAATAACTTACAAATGAAAAAGAATAATTTCTTGGGGTTGATTTGTAGACTTTACTGTGAAAGTCCTTAGATTAAGCCAATTTAATGATAAGGCCCTATAAAAATATTATAAAAGTGATGAGGGAGACTTTCTTCTTTTTTTTTTTTTAAGCCTACAAGCCATATATCATTTTTTCGAGTTGTTTGCTGGTGCATCGATATTCAAAGTAAAACATTATTGAGATAATAAAAAAAATGTCTACTTACTATTTAATAAGAAAAATAAAAAAAAAATATTTTTGTTTTAAGATAGAAGACATGCACACAAGGGTGATAAAATAATTTTTTTTTTGTGGGACCTAACCATGTAATGAGCTTAAAACTTAAAAATTGTATTAAGCAATATTTTTAATTACTTTGTATATTTTAAGTAAACCTAGTCTTTGAGTGAAAATTAGTGAAATTACTTTTTTTTCTTAAACAATTCTAGTGAAATTGTTGTTTGCCTCCCTCTTTGTCAACCTTTACAAAAGGTTTTTTTTAAATTTTTGTACACAGGCCTGTAGAATTTAGAACTAGCTTTAAGATTAGTGAGCTCAATACTGATGTAATAATTTTGTACTCAGAATCTTAAAAAGGGGTATCATTAAAATTGTTCATACTACATAGGCATTTGTTTTTATTTGGAAAAGAGCATTATTTCCATTTATACTTTTCTAGATTATAGAAAATAATCATGAAAATTACGAAGAGACGCTTACTATATAATTTCCAAACAAAATTTAATGGCAAGAAAGATAGATGTTTCGGGTCCATCATGGAACCATTCTCAAGATCAAGTAAATTGAAAAAAACTACAAACAAAAATACCAAGCAGTGACAGGAAGTAAGTAATTAATTTACATATCAATAGGGCCTAATGTGTGGAGCCATTGTATTTTTGTTTTTAGTTTTTTCAATTTACTTGATCTTGAGAATGGTTCCATGATGGACCCAAAACGTCGATCTTTCTTGTCATTAAATTTTGTTTTGAAATCATGAAAATATTGACTATATTTTTCTGTTGTGTTACCCAAAAATATCGATAGAATTTCCTTCCATAAAAAACAGGAAACGTGCTTTGCTCAATTACATTTTGCTTATAATGCATTCTTCCAAATCACGTCAGAGTTACTTTGGTACATTGAAATCGGTTTTGCTTGTTACGTAGGATTACATAGCAACATAGTACTCTTAGTACATTGAAATTTATGTATATGTACTTACGTTTCATTTTCTGTTGAGTTGGATTTGATTTGCTTGTCGTTGCACCTCTTGACTGTTTGGTACTGTACTTAATATGAATGTTACACTATTTACTTCCTTGTTAAGTCAATTAACCAATGGAGCTATTATAAAAAATCGATGAAAAATTCTTTATATGCATAAGCTGAGAATTTGTGTATATTGTAGCTGTACAATAGATGTCAGCTTTTGTAGCTTTCAAATTGCAGTATTGTTGATAGTGAAAGCATGTGCAAAATTGAAATTACTGTCGTCCGACAAATGACTAGGTTGTCGGATCAAAAATAAAGAAAAAATAATAATTTTCCTATCCAAAATAATGCAATTTTAATTGCCAATCCCTAACATTGTGATCTAAAAGCAAATTTGGGTCCAAATTAAGCCATAGAAACTCTCCCCATGAACCCTAACATTGTTATTTTACGATATTTTAATTGACATAATTAGGAACTCATAATATGTCCTTAATAGTAAAACGCCATTATAATTCTTCCAGATTTGTGCAGGTGTTTGGGCTGTAAATCGTAAAAAATATTTTGTTGTTCAAATTAGTATATAATGGTACATGTTGCAGGTACACAATTAATATGCCTACTGTGTTTTATAACATGAACAATATTTTCATTGCAAATTAATTCACTTAAATGATAGGCACAAACAGCTAATGTATGTCTACAAAAATAAAGTTTATGTACAGTATTGCATTATTTACAATAATTTCATATCATAAAATAACAGTTTTGAATACTGAAATTACCATAAAGATTCTAATTGAAACTGTACTCTGTCTTACCTTGCTGTAGTACAGTATCTAACAATGTTTATCTGTAGTTACCCCCAACCAATTAAAATACCCAATTAACAACATTAATTAATAACTAAACTATTAAAACAAACAATATTTTCAGTACAAATGTATTCACTTAAATGATAAGCATAGTCTCATAGACAACTATACTATGGCTTCAACTGTAGAGTATTTCGTTATATAGCAGGAGTTCCAAGTCTCTCGCCACTCACGGGAGTATCTCAGAAATTAGTGTCGATGGTATCACTATGGGCAGCAAAATTAAATTAAAAGGAAGCTCATTAACCATGTCAGTGGCAGATTCAAAGGGGTGGGTGGGGAGCCTAAATTGTTCAAAATTATTTTTTTTTAATGGTGAAAAAAATAAAATTATATTCAAATTTAAGTCTGATGGTGCTATTTGCAGCCATCTAGAGGTGCTAAAATAATATATTTAGGTAGGTAGATTCTCCATCTATAAAAGTTCCCCCTCTATTTCGAATTCCTACATCTGCCACTGCAGATCTCCCGGAATTCACTTCTTCAAACTTGAGACCCCTGATATAGTATACAGTAATTTCATATTATAAAATTAACAGTTTTGAATACTAAAAAGTACCATGATGTCAGAGACTGGAACCATCGTAACTTGTATGGGGTCTATTTTATTTCGGGTAGGGATATTTATTTACTGTTTATGTCGTGTCCGTCTGGACATTCAGTGGAGCAATTGTTTATTTAGCGTCCTTGTGATACGACTAGCGCGTCCTTTTCGAATAAGCCAAGCAAGTTAAGAACCTGCCACGAGAGAGACAAGACGTGTCTAAGGCAGAGAAGAAAGCAGAGTATTGTGACATATTGGCTGATTGTGCAGAAGTATTTGTAACTATGATTTTGAAGTTTTGTGGTACGTTATTTTCATTACATTATTCTCATGTATTTAGTAATATATTTCATCGTAACCTACACTATGGCATATCATGGCTATAAGTATGTGAAACGACAGTGTTTTAGTCGAGCTATTTGTTCTGTATAATGCGGGATAGCTGTGATTTGAGTTACAGTACAGTATATAATTTAGAGTATTTTCTAGCTAAATTACGATCTTATTTTATGTGTCAACCATTAGATGATATTTAATTCGATTCTTTAACGTCTGTATGATAAGATTTGTGTACATGTGCTCGCCACTGCAAGCGACCGTGACAGCTTATGATTGTTAGTTAGCTAATTAATTACTCATGTTTTGTAGAGGGCGTCCTATGTAAACAAACAAGATGGCTGCACCCATGTCATGGTTGGGTAGCGCTGTAGATTGACCCTTTACGATGTTTTAATTGATTGTACGATCTTTTATTTACTTGCTATTTAATATTATGAACATTTATTTTACTTATGATTATCGATTTTATGATGTATTTTGATAGCGATTTTATGATCACCTTTGGAGCTGTAATATTTGAGTTTTAGCTTATACAGATGTTCGAATGACTTTGTTATGATAGTTTTATTGCTTATTTAACCGTGAATATTATTTGAATGTCATTATCTACGAATTTATTCAATTGATTGCTATGCTATGCTTTATGATAGTACGAATGATTGTGCTATGATTACATGACATTGTATTAGTAATGGTTAAATATTCGTTAAATTACTAGATTATTTTGGTGAGAACCGCCGATTGTTTCTTGTCCGAGATTTCTTGTTTGTAGCCTCTGAACGAGTGCGTTGCAGGTGCAGTCATGATTTAATAATATATTTTGTTTAGATTGTTTAAGTGATTCTGATTATTTTATTAGAGTAATAAGGATACTCTTTACATAACAATTGATGAACTATGAAGTATGATGTACTAGAGTTATTGCGATTACATTTATGCTTGTAATACTGTTCGCTCAACCCAGAGAAAATGTTTTCTAAAGATAATGTTTAACCATGAAAAATATAAAAAGATTATTAATTAAAATGATATATTAGTAATGACACGAGAGATAGTAACGAGTACTGTATTGATGTCTTAATATGATCATTATTATTATTATACTTATATGTAGAGGCATACCATTGAGTATGAGTTTGAAAATTTATTACTAATTGTTTGAGTTAATTAGAGATATTATGTTATGTGCTATGACATGAGTTTGACACTATTCTCTGTTTCTTTGCGTTACAGGGGTTTTTCCTTTTGTTCAGTTCTCTTTATACTATTTATATTGCTCCATGGTTTGTTCATTTCGTTGTGTTCCAAATAAATGTTCTAAACAACGTATGCAGTCTATGGTCTACTCCTTGACGTATTTGTTCAACTCACGACAATAAAGATAATTGAAACTGTACTGTATTCTGTATTTGACCCATGTACAGAGTTCTCAAATGTTTTGTACTGACCCCTTCCTAATTAAATATCCAATTCTTTATTGGCAATATTACAAGTGCAATTCATATCAACATTGTTGGTTTTATAACTAGTCATTAAAATAAGGGTACATATTTTATTTGGTTTGTTTTTATTCTCCAAACCTGTCTAAAGCATGGTGTTAAGGTTTTTTTTTCTCACATTAAAAAAAAATGAAAAATCAAAGACTATGGATTTTCTGGCTCAATGACTGCTGTTTTTCCTCAATCCCTTGGATTTTGCCAGCATTAATTCCCTGTTCCTACATTGAACTCATCATCAAGTGGTTGGTAAGCCTCATTCTCTTTTTCTATATACCCGAAATCATCAGATATTTCATCCTTGTTATGTGTCTGAGACGTAGTATGTTCATCTTTTTTCTTATTCATATTTATACCATCGACGAAATCATCAATTTCTTTATAATCCTTGTTTGTTTGGTCAACATCGGGCTTGGCAACACTAACTTTATTAACAGTTGGTGTTAGTTCATAAGCGTTGGTGTCAGCTGATTGGTAGATGAAATTTTCTGTCATGACACTATCTTCAGAAGATTGCTTAAAATTGATGTCATCACTTTGTGGTGGTACTTCCATCATATTAATTTTTTTTGTTTGTTCTTTTTGTTCATTCTCAGTATATTCATTTTCATTTGTCGGTGGGGATTTCATTGCAGAATTTTGTTTATTTTTGAAGCTCCTTCTTACAAAATACAAGATAGTAATAACCAGAAATAATATTGCTGCTAATGATATTATGACTATTAATTGTGTTGCATTGTCTTCTTTTGCTGCTGCTGTTATTGTTGAAGATATTATAGTGCCTTCTGGACTTGATTGGACCATGGTGCCTTGTGAATTTTCAACATCAGTGTATTTGGTAGGGGAAATTGATTGTGAGAATACTTCAGTTTTTGGTGGTAATGTTGGGATATGTGTCTCCTTTATAGAACATTTAGATGTTCTCATAGACACAGTGTTTATGACATTACACACAAGATCCTGTGGATTGACCTCTCTTGATGTGTATGCGTAATTCAATGTACATATATCAGATGTGCAATTTCTTATGCCTTCAACACTGACGTCTTTAACAAACCATGTTGCTTGGAACTGTTGAATATTTTGATAGGAGCATGAAGCAACTGATGTGGTACCACTAATTTGGATGATTGTACATTCAGGCTGGTAGATTAGCAGTTCATAAGTTTGTAATTCCTGGACAACATCATCATCAGTTTTTGACACTAACCTGCATTCATATGTTGTTGTAAGATATGACCAGATCATGATGTCATCAGGTATCATAATGAACAGACTGTAGTCATCACTTGCACCAGGTAAAGCATAAAATTTCTTTGTAGTACCAAATGAATCATTATTGAACATTTTTCCAGAACTGATGTAATCACTGTGACCATACCACCTAACAGTCTGTTCATCATTCACCTGGTCAACCATACATGGCAGAGATACATTCTGTCCAGGTACAGCTTCAATGACCAATCCTACCACACAAGTAGGCAAATACAGTATGTAAACCATACTCCATAGATGAATGTTATACCTCATATTTCCAGTTTTTGCTGAGTAATCAAATCATGAATGTAAGAAGATGTATTGTCTTCTACTATTATTCTGTAATGTCTGTCTTTTCTTACATCTTGCAGATAAATATATCCTTTATTTTAATCTATGATTCACCTTTTAAACTGCATGGTACACCTGTTGTGAGTAAAATAAAATAAAAACCAAGTATTATTAAAATTCAACTTCCTTATTGTCATTGTTATATATATTTAGATTGTGTCAGATTTAATGGTCACCAGTGTGAGTTCAGCCACAGTTTGAAAAATAACATTAATGTGTGTTTTATGATATGTCTGATTTTTATTTGTATTTACATGTATGCTTCCTGTTATTGGCATTTGCTCTGTTGGGTGAAATGTTAATATTTGT